CGTGGAGATGTGGCCATAACAAAGAATGGAGCAACATGTCAGAGATGGAGCAGACAGACACCATACACTCACATTTATCTTCCTGAAGACTACCCTGACTCCGGACTTGGTGATCACAACTATTGCAGAGATCCTAGTAGTGAAGGTGCACCTTGGTGCTACACAACTGGGTCAACTCGGTGGGATTGGTGCTTTGAAGAATGTGCACAACCGGAACCAGAAGAGCCTAAGTGTGTCGAAGGTGAAGAATATCGTGGAGATGTGGCCATAACAAAGAATGGAGCGACATGCCAGAGATGGAGCAGTCAGACACCATACACTCACATTTATCTCCCTGAAAACTACCCTGACTCCGGACTTGGTGATCATAACTACTGCAGAGATCCTAGTAATGAAGGTGCACCTTGGTGCTACACAACTGGGTCAACTCGGTGGGATTGGTGCTTTGAAGAATGTGCACAACCGGAACCAGAAGAGCCTAAGTGTGTCGAAGGTGAAGAATATCGTGGAGATGTGGCCATAACAATCAATGGAGCAACATGTCAGAGATGGAGCAGTCAGACACCATACACTCACATTTATCTCCCTGAAAACTACCCTGACTCCGGACTTGGTGATCATAACTACTGCAGAGATCCTAGTAATGAAGGTGCACCTTGGTGCTACACAACTGGGTCAACTCGGTGGGATTGGTGCTTTGAAGAATGTGCACAACCGGAACCAGAAGAGCCTGAGCAGTGTGTTGAAGGTGAAGACTATCGTGGAGATGTGGCCATAACAAAGAATGGAGCAACATGTCAGAGATGGAGCAGACAGACACCATACACTCACATATATCTTCCTGAAGACTACCCTGACTCCGGACTTGATGATCACAACTATTGCAGAGATCCTAGTAATGAAGGTGCACCTTGGTGCTACACAACTGGGTCAACTCGGTGGGATTGGTGCTTTGAAGAATGTGCACAACCGGAACCAGAAGTGCTACCAGAAGTACTTGAACCAGAAGTACTTGAACCACAAGTAGTTGAACCAGACGTACTACCAGAAGTACTTGAACCAGAACCAGTAACAGAAGAGTGTTTATATCGTGGAGATGTGGCCATAACAATCAATGGAGCAACATGTCAGAGATGGAGCAGACAGACACCATACACTCACATATATCTTCCTGAAGACTACCCTGACTCCGGACTTGGTGATCACAACTATTGCAGAGATCCTAGTAATGAAGGTGCACCTTGGTGCTACACAACTGGGTCAACTCGGTGGGATTGGTGCTTTGAAGAATGTGCACAACCGGAACCAGAAGAGCCTAAGTGTGTCGAAGGTGAAGAATATCGTGGAGATGTGGCCATAACAAAGAATGGAGCAACATGTCAGAGATGGAGCAGACAGACACCATACACTCACATATATCTTCCTGAAGACTACCCTGACTCCGGACTTGGTGATCATAACTACTGCAGAGATCCTAGTAATGAAGGTGCACCTTGGTGCTACACAACTGGGTCAACTCGGTGGGATTGGTGCTTTGAAGAATGTGCACAACCGGAACCAGAAGAGCCTAAGTGTGTCGAAGGTGAAGAATATCGTGGAGATGTGGCCATAACAATCAATGGAGCAACATGTCAGAGATGGAGCAGACAGACACCATACACTCACATATATCTTCCTGAAGACTACCCTGACTCCGGACTTGGTGATCACAACTATTGCAGAGATCCTAGTAGTGAAGGTGCACCTTGGTGCTACACAACTGGGTCAACTCGGTGGGATTGGTGCTTTGAAGAATGTGCACAACCGGAACCAGAAGAGCCTAAGTGTGTCGAAGGTGAAGAATATCGTGGAGATGTGGCCATAACAATCAATGGAGCAACATGCCAGAGATGGAGCAGTCAGACACCATACACTCACAAATATCTTCCTGAAGACTACCCTGACTCCGGACTTGGTGATCATAACTATTGCAGAGATCCTAGTAATGAAGGTGCACCTTGGTGCTACACAACTGGGTCAACTCGGTGGGATTGGTGCTTTGAAGAATGTGCACAACCGGAACCAGAAGTACTTGAACCGGAACCAGAAGAGCCTAAGTGTGTCGAAGGTGAAGACTATCGTGGAGATGTGGCCATAACAAAGAATGGAGCAACATGTCAGAGATGGAGCAGAGAGACACCATACACTCACATATATCTTCCTGAAGACTACCCTGACTCCGGACTTGGTGATCACAACTACTGCAGAGATCCTAGTAGTGAAGGTGCACCTTGGTGCTACACAACTGGGTCAACTCGGTGGGATTGGTGCTTTGAAGAATGTGCACAACCGGAACCAGAAGTGCTACCAGAAGTACTTGAACCAGAAGTACTTGAACCACAAGTAGTTGAACCAGAAGTACTACCAGGATTATTTGAACCAGAACCAGTAACAGAAGAGTGTTTATATCGTGGAGATGTGGCCATAACAATCAATGGAGCAACATGTCAGAGATGGAGCAGACAGACACCATACACTCACAGATATCTTCCTGAAGACTACCCTGACTCCGGACTTGGTGATCACAACTACTGCAGAGATCCTAGTAATGAAGGTGCACCTTGGTGCTACACAACTGGGTCAACTCGGTGGGATTGGTGCTTTGAAGAATGTGCACAACCGGAACCAGAAGAGCATAAGTGTGTCGAAGGTGAAGAATATCGTGGAGATGTGGCCATAACAAAGAATGGAGCGACATGCCAGAGATGGAGCAGTCAGACACCATACACTCACATTTATCTCCCTGAAAACTACCCTGACTCCGGACTTGGTGATCACAACTATTGCAGAGATCCTAGTAGTGAAGGTACACCTTGGTGCTACACAACTGGGTCAACTCGGTGGGATTGGTGCTTTGAAGAATGTGCACAACCGGAACCAGAAGAGCCTAAGTGTGTCGAAGGTGAAGAATATCGTGGAGATGTGGCCATAACAAAGAATGGAGCGACATGCCAGAGATGGAGCAGTCAGACACCATACACTCACATTTATCTCCCTGAAAACTACCCTGACTCCGGACTTGGTGATCATAACTACTGCAGAGATCCTAGTAATGAAGGTGCACCTTGGTGCTACACAACTGGGTCAACTCGGTGGGATTGGTGCTTTGAAGAATGTGTTTCCAATTAGACACCACGATCCAGAACTCCTGAAAGCAATCTGCGATACTTGAAGGACTGGTTAATTTACCATCGGTAAGCAATATTGAAATTGAATGGACATTTAAGAGACTTTTTTTCAAAAGTAACTAGAGTTCACAGTATAAGTACTAGTAGTGCTTTTTCTATCTTTTTGTGGGAGCATTTATTGATATTTAGATAACTTTTCATTATCATTTAACTTATAATTGATTAGTGACCTTGCTCTTTGAATTTTACATATTCTCGTTCATTACAAGCTTGTTTTATTTCTGTTTATGCTTAAAGTCAAACTATAATATAATTATGAATAGCTGGCTTCGTCAGCAGATGTTCCTCAACCGAACTCCTGTTACTGTAACCAACTTAATCTAGTTACCCGTACTTTAGTTCGGAAAACATCCAAGTTCGACAAGATAACTGCAACTGTCGAACTAGGGTAGGCTACCTGGGCTCTAGCTTGACACGTACCGAAGGTCGATAACTATAAGAGACCTGCGACCAGGTAAAGCTAAAGGGATAAAGATTGGCTTTGATAATTCTAAATGGATACTGTGCATAAAATCGTATAAATAAACACTTAATTCAACAAGCAACCAAAGATCCCATATACTTCAAGTATTCCAATTTGTTGAAGTTATTATTGGCAGGAAGGTTAGGTTTTAGCTCCAATCAGGTGAAAATGACTTTCACACTGGTGGGCTCTCCAGTTTGTATCAACGGCAACATTTAAGTGCGGTGGTTGCAAAATTGTACTTTTGACCTATCACGGTTATCTCATATATTTTGTGTACTTCAACTTGGTATCGCTGTGTACAATGAAATAAGATCGACATGTCCATTAGAATGGTCAAACCTTTTCAGAAAGTATAACTACCCTTTTAAATTGGGAAAACATAGTTCGTATATCAGATCACTTAATGGTCCATTAGTAAGATAGGATAGGATAGGATCTGAGCTTGGAAATATGACATGATCGCTTTACAGTACGCTACCTGGACTGTAGTGCGACACAAGTGCGAAAGAGGGGGGTCTTGTCGAACATCAGGTTTCGAACTAGTACGTGTCCCACTACAGTACGTTTACCCTTGGCGACGTTTCAAGCTGGATCGCAATCCCTCGAAACAGATTAAGATTGAGTTACGTAGGTCATGTAAGTGCTAGACTGCTACAGGTCCCACAGCGTCAGCCAACAGGCACGGGAGTATCGGAACTTTCCCGTTTCAGCTTCTGACGGAGCTCCCAGCAGAAGTATTGGGTTTAGTGCTTAGTTTTTCAGTGGAGCTGTTATTTCACAGCATTGCAGTGGAGTCATCTATAATAATAGTCTTAAATAACAGTCGTGTATGTAACGAGAAAGTCGGCCGCCGAAAATATTGTTGACACATTTCCAGTACGAATTTTCATCACCCTTTCTGCCTGTACCGGTATCCCTCGTAGATGACGTTCCGGAGACCAATGGCAGAAAATAAATAAACTTTCTATGGAGAAAATGGAAAAACCTTTGGGTAAATCGCCATTTTATGCCATGAATTTTGTTCATCTTGGCAAGACAAACGTTTAGCACCGAATTTATGATGTTTGAAGAATGTTTATGCCACCCACCCACTAATTGACTACTAAAAGTTACTCACTGCGTATTGCAGTTTACAGATTTGGATTATAGGGTACGGTTTATTTTATACCGCATTGGATAAAGCACAGGGGTGATTTCTAGCCAACTTCTGTAATCAGTTGCCAAACTAGAGTACGTGTCGAACTAGATCAGTGTACGTGAACCCTAAATCTAAATGTCAATAATTCAATAATTGTAACTGCGGTTACCTGCGGAGGGGTCAAAGGATTTCTTGTTGGCGGCTATCTGAGCAGCCTGATTCGCTAAGTTGTGGGAGTTATGAGAGTTGTGGGAGAGACTACCGATACCCGACACTGTATTGTACCCGGGCGTTCCGCGCGACACGTGCTGTAAAAGGGGAAGTCCGTTAGTTATTGGTGATCAATTATTTATTAAAATGTATTATCTATTGATTATAATCTTGATCGTAGGGCAAAATTGCGTTTATTGATCGATACATTATAGTAGTTATTGTAGTTGATATGAGTCGTCATCACAGTGACATAATATTACAGCTATTGATGGATCAATAGTTAATAACAATGTATCTTTTCTTCATCAAGTGCCTGAATTCGCTCAATTCTCAAATTAGATAATCATTGATATTATTCTTACGTTGACTAATAATGGCTATTGAAAGCTAATATTGCTGTAATCAGGTAACATACTTGTTGCAGCAGTACGAGTTGATGAGTGTGGTTTTGAGTAAAAATGTGAGACTGAATGAAGCTAATAAATGAGTGAATCAATCAGTGTGACAGTGACAATAAATTACATATTCTTATCAAATCTTTAAAAACATGTACCCAAAACATGGAGGTGGAATAGAACGAAAATATTTTATAAAACACTAAAAACAAAATTGTGATAATTTTACCCAAAATGGAATGTCACAAATTGATGAATTGACGGTTGTAAAATAAGCACGTTAAAATACATTTTAAAATACATTTTTACAGTTTTTACAGGGATGATAGCATGAAAACGTTTCCTACATGTGATTTGGGTCGCGGCCTATTCTGAAATAACAAAGTTTCATATAGTATTATTTGAATGTAGAAAGTTAAATCCTAATTAACCTAGCTTATATTCCGTAACAACATCAATAATTCCTTCAACGCGAATAGTCAATGAGACAGAGGACAGATAAATTTCAAGAGCACGAGTAGTAGCATAGTACTCTACTAATCCCAGTGAAGGGAGTACTGACCTCCGTGCTCCGTTTGGATTTGTGCCTCTCGGCTTTCTCAGGAGTTGTGTCTTCTAACTCGTCGTCTGTGTAGTCCACCTCCAATGTCGTCAGGTCCGGCTGACCTGGTAAGGGTTACAGTTAGAGTTGAGTTGAGGACAACATTCCGTTACACGTGATCCAGTCTCTTACTGGCAAACCCATCCGAACGATTAAACGATTTCCCGAACAGTGATGTAGATATTGCTATCACAGAGTTATGACAATAATGTTTCAGTCATGTGGACTGTGGAGGGTGATAATATCAGTAAACGTACCTTCTATTTCCCAGTTAAAGTTGACCACATCACACCTTGCCAGATGTTTGCCGTTCATAGCGAGCTCCAGCAGTTGCTTACACTCCTCCTGTAATTAATATCACATTATATTTACTGTAAAATTGACTGTAAAATTAGTAAATCTGAGCTTTACTAGATGTTGAGAGAGCTAAAAGAGATAATTGATATCTCAGATTTTCCCAAGCAGACTGCGACCTCACGGTCAGCTACTAAGGGAACAATCCTGTAGAGAGTCATGGTTAACAAATGACCTTGAGAGCCGCCCTAATGTCAAGTACATAACAATACCCAACAATAGCTAATCGTCAGTTTTTGTCTTCTCGCCCAGAGCCAGTACAGAGTTTCTCATTGGTTCACAAATTGTTTTTTATCCGCAAACTTGATATGGAAATTGATGTAGAGTTTATAAAGAAGAAGAAAAAAAACATCGAGATTGTGTCGAAATTTGTACACAATGTCCTCGGCGCTGTAAAGAGACTAATAGTGTCACTATCGTCTATCATGAGTATAATATGTCCCAGAGTCTTAGTTAGATCATTTGCGTTTGGAGGGTGAATCTGTTTGACATTAGTCCCAGGCAATTTCATGTTGACGGCTATTAAGACACTGTGTTCTGTTGTTGCTGTGTGGACCTCCTTCTACAAGGTTACTTTATACATAGCATTTAAACATTTAAAATACTTAATCGTCACAATTCGATCAAATTCATTGTACTAAATAGTGTAATCATGATCATAATATAATAATACTGCCATCTGTTTCCTTTTTAAAAACACTCATCTAATGCGCTGAAATTTGTTGATTAAAATGGACAAACGTTTTTATACTTAGCGTGATTGTGTAATATGTTATTTGAATAGCAATATTGTTTTTTTAACACTCATGTTACGTGAAATATCTTAATATGTTCGCAATGAACTTTTAGTCGGCTAATTCTGCACAGTGAATCTTCGAAGACAAAGACTGCACTACGTAATTGATACGTAACACGTAATTGATACGTAATTGACGCGTAATTGATATGTAACACGTTTACACTCTAGCTAGGATCTTAGTCTGGGCTGGGACTTAATTATAACCAGCCCGGCGCGGTGGACAATGACAGTATGAATATTTTAATGAGCAGTGGTCCCTGGTACTGGGAATAGTTTAGGGAGAGAAGATAAACTGTTCCAAGTGAGGGAAAGGACGTAAATAAAGCCTCAATAAGTAATAACCGGTGGATAGCAACCAGAACTAATTAGTATGTGACTGAGGAGTACAGAGTACAGCAGCGGTTCCAGGACTGCTTACGATCACGTACACTTTCCTAGAGAACAAGTGAGATGGATGCGATAATATTATCATGCTGGATCCTGGTCAGGAGGTGAGGCATATTATTTTAATTCTGTGGTTTGATTGGTCAATAGTGGACACTGATTAGTTAGTTGTTGTCACATGTCAACTAATTATGCTTCACCTCCACAGAATACACCAGAATCCACATCTACTATCTCTCCACGTAGTTACATTCGAACGGCATAAAAATATAAAATCTTGTTTCCTAGGTTGCACATAAGGTTGGTTCACAAACAAATCATTGCTGATCAAAGCTTATCTGTCGTTCATAAGGCTCAATAACAACCAAACAATTATTTTTGGCAATGCACATGAAGATTAGTTGAATCCCCCTTCTACAGTCTACACGATTAATATAATAACAGATTAATATAATAACAGTCTCCAGTGCACATCACCATGTGTTCAATAATCAAGCTGCTTTGTTCCTACGGAAGCCACCAACTAGTTGCTACCCAGCATGTTTCTACGTGGGAGACAGGTTCCCTGTAACAAGTACAAGAGATGATCTGCTGCTTTATTATCAACTACAGTATTGAAGTTTATTATAATCAGCAGTATTGAAGTTCGACCTGTGTTTAATCAGATACAATTGTTCGTGAATTGTGACGGTAATCGATCTAGGCTTTCTTTTTGTTTACCATCACAATAGTAAGACATTACTGAAGCTCCTAGCTATTTCCGTTTGAGTTTGCTATCGCTGGTCAAGACTCCTCGTGCTTAGGAATACAAACGGAGATGTTGTGCAAAGTTGTAACTATGAAGTATAGTTTGAAAAGCACCCGTTAGATTTCGACAAATCTAATTTTGTGGTGCTTAATTTAGTGGTTACTTTTTATGATGAGAGCAACCAGCGCTCAAATTAATATTTATTTAAATAGATGATTCATCTTCTATCTAGAATAAGCTCGTAAATTTCTGATAATATATTTAAAGGGCATGAAGTTGTGGTTACAACTGAGATTTAGTTAGTGCATAGACACGATTCTGAGCTTTAGCGGTGCAGGGAAGGTGGCGAAATTTATTATTGAGAGTTTCGCTCGATTAAACACCGGTGTTTAATGATTTAGAGGGGAGAGGTCCGGATCTGCCCGGGCTTTGGTGTGGGAGCGTGTCGTGTTGGGTGGAGGGTTTGTTGTGTATTTTAGTTTGGGAGACCATCGTGTCTTCGCAACAGTAGAATAATGTATTTGTAGGACTGAGTCAGTAGTTATAGTATGTCATGTTATTCGCGTGAGCTACGAAAGGATTACAATGTAAACGTTTATACAGATCAAATCTTACATAGTCTCTACAACTTGAGCCATTGATCTTCTTTTGAACACTTGAACACATTATATATGTAAGGAGCGACTGATAGCACAGACGGTTATTTTGGACACTATCTAAGCTTATATTAGTTGGAACCTACAGTAAATGTAAATTCGGATTTACCGTGCCCCGATATACCGAGAACTCCGATTAAACGAGAATTTCCAATATTCCCCGAAAGCAGTCATAATTACGAGTTCAGAAACCTAATTCCGATTTATTAGAATCCTCGATTTACTGAGAAACATTAATAAAAATTGAGCATCTGTAGTTACTGTAGGTACTTAGGTACTTGAACTTAAGACCTTATGAGCTAGCGTTATGCATCAATAATTTCACCTGACAAAGGAAACACGTCCATATAAAATCTGTGGTACGTCAATTCTAGTCGACAGATTTCAATTTGTATAACTTGCTTATTTTACAGCCAGGAGTAAACAGAAGCTTCCTTTAAAATGTCGTTTAATTTTCATTGTTTTTCTTAAAATGCTTACGCTATAGTATTTTTACTCCGTTCCTAATGACATTCTTTTCCATGACCTCCAGTATTGTAATGTCTCGTGTATTATTAAAGATCGGTATCCTCTTGATAGTATTGGTTCACACTTGTCAATCAGGTTAGCTTCAAACTTTAAGTTCATTAAACATTTAGAATTGAAATGAAAGAAGTTTCGAAAAGTGAAATTATGAGTTTGTACTAGTTGGCAGATCATGGTTAGTAAAAATGTAAAAATATTTTTTAGAGAGCGGAAGAGAAACATTGATCCGTAACGGAGATAAGGAAGTAGGTTACATGGAAGTAACCGGGAATACCGTTTCCTGTACCACAGATATAAACATGGCAACAAGGTACATCATATATGCACATTTCTTGATAAGTCTTGTAAATCACATGAAACTGATGGACTTTATGACTTATCTAATCATCCTGTATTTAATTGATTGTAAAATATTTCAAGGGGGCTAATTAAACTCGGATAAGAATAGAGATTACTGCAGGTTTGAAGTAGTGAAAGGTCTTAAAGAAGCCTACAGTGGGTCCATCTCGTTTCTGGTAAAGGGTGGCTCAAAAGACGTCTATCTTAGACACTCTAACAATATTCTAAAAGCTTCAACGTATTTTAGTGGTGACTTTCTCTTACAGAAAGATGCCAGCTTTTTTAAAGCTTCTAGTCTCAGCGGAGGTAAACTTGATTTTAAATCATAAGTTTTTTCAAATGGTTTAAATACTTTCTTACAAGAATTATCTAATCCTCCAAAACAAATTTATAAATTGAACAAATATCACTATAACAAAAAGTTACTAACAGATCCATACACCCCGTACTAGGTGATCAGGGAGAATTGTCCTTTGAAGCGGGCAATTACCCGGGGGATTATCTGAAGTATGTTCAAACGAAGGGAACAGTTAAAATAGTGACATACGCTGGCAATGAAGCGAATAGTATCTGGAAACTGAGAGCTTCATGGATGTTGGATGGATTATTCAACATAGGTATAGTTATAGATGGAAAATAGCGCGGTTATATTACACATACCGTAATATTACTATTTAGAGGTCACGTAAAGGTCCAGTGCAAGTGTGGGCCTTGCTTGGTATCGCGAAGGGCCTTCTTTTGAAGAAGTTTCCTTGTGGCATTGTTCTGACAAAGCGACCGTATAATACCATTCTTAGCCACCAAAGACCTTAACTCAGATATAATATATATTACGATTTAAATGTCACGTACCGTGTTTAACATGATTTCACGAAGAGTTATAATTGTGGACATAGCTTATCCTGACAAAAGGCTCACAGGTACTAATCTAATTACACTCCCAAAATCTTAACTCAGATATGCTCCACGACACGTTTGTGGCGAGACATTCAAGTCGTCAAAATGATCAGAATATAACTTCAACTTGTAACACACCAAAGATATTAAATCAGGTCTTGGATCCTACAATATTTAGCAAATTATGATAAAAGTTCAGGGCGATTGCTAGGGCCTTCCTTATTAATTATATTATCTATTTCCGTTTAAAGCTGTAGAGGAAAGCCAAACCTATCAAACGGTTTTTACGATGAAAAGATATTGTTTTTGCCAGAGTTATCATCAAAATTTTGAATCTAGTATCTTGAAGTGTGATGTACTTTCTGATTGAATTGTAACATATCAGTTTGAAAAATTTCAATCCAAAATCCAAAACGACCAAATTCCCTACATAACACGACCACGGAAAGTGATTATATCATTGGGTCTGAGAAGCGAGCTCCAGGGTGGCGTAGTTAAAGTCATTCCTTACGTACGTGAAGGCTAAGCTAAGGAACTTGGATGAGTTCATTTTAATGACGTAGCATGTGCCATGCTAATGATGCTTAGCTTCCTTACATTGTGGGTATGGCTCAGCCCAAAATAGTATAGCAAATTTTCAGTGCTGGTTACTAGGCACGAATTTTATTCGTGGTCTCATCAACCTTTGCTTGAGAGAGAGACCAATGATCTTTGCTTTTGAATAAAGGTTTTTTTAATGTGAAATGCCCCACCTAATCCATTTCGTATTTTGATAAGACCTAATGATCCTTAAAAAAGATAAATAAATACCTAGTGATGGCATGATCAGTCATGATAAAGTCCTAATGACTTTCTTGAATTTCTGGGTGTCATGTGCACTGAGAAATGCACCTACCATGTTCAACTATGTGGGCCATCCAGGTCCAGCCTCTCTTAAAAAAATAAATATCATATGTTAAACTATTTAATTTTAAATGCCGCTTTGTTGCGGGCGAGTTAGTTGTTTTTCTTTCTTCAAAACGATCGACGATTTGAGAGTGGTTTGTTGATTAGGTATCCGTCGAATCTATAGCCCTTCAACCATTTTTTAGAGTAACATAATTTTAAAATAATCCGCTTCAAATTTTGTACTTCTTGCTTATACACATTGTGTAGTGTTTACGTCTAATATTAAAGACACTATTGTGACTATTGTGATAACGGTCTTAATATAAGGGTCTCGTTGCTCTTTTTTACAACATGTCAGCTTGGGGAGGCCGACATAGGGCCCCCCGATTATCAGGAGTCAGATCACCAATTAGTGACGTATAATTAGTGATGTGATCCATTAGTAGAATTTAATTGACCTAGAAATGGGCTAGATATAGGGTAGAGTTCACATACATCAATTCTGTACATCATAGCTGTACATTAAGAAGTAAACATGATATTAAAGCCAAAACCACCCCCCTCCCTATTTGCCGGACGTCCTAAGTAGATGGTCCCAAACTGCGCTCTACTGCAATCTGAATCAGATACGATTTACTGCAATCTGAAGAGTTGTGCCTCCCTACCATTAGCAGGAGCAACCCTCACTTAACCATCTACAAATTAACAGACAGATACTGATAATTATCCTACGAAAAAATGTCCATCGACTTGTTAATTTAAATCAAAAGTGCGGAGTATGTACTCTACGAGTCGAGCAGACAGCTATGATGTACAATGTACATGATGATTGACATGTGAACTCTACAATTAAATTCTACTGACGGATCACTAATTATATGTCACTAATTGGTGACATGATCTGACCCCTGATAATCGGGGCCCCCCTATGTGTTCATTATTTGATCACTCCATGAGACATAACCTTAGCCTATTTTACAACTTTTCAGTCACCATGTATCGGATCTCAACAATCTTAATCCTCTTCATAGCCCCGATTTACAGATGTCGATCAGGTAAGGAACTAATTCATAAATTCATTGCTGATTCGTATGCCAGTATAGGCTCTAGAACATGTAATTCTGCTTTAATTTAAATTTGAAAGGAAAAAAGTGCTGTTGTCAGTTTAAATAGAAGATGATTTCATTATTAGCATTTTGAAGTTAGTATCTAAAATCATTTCTTTATTGGAGAGAGTCGGAGAGTAACGCTGATACTCAATGCGGACGAGAAAGTAGGTTATATGAGAGTAGGAGATATAGGAGATACTATCTCCTGTACAACTGACAAAACCGTGGCAGCTAGGTACATTTCTTATCGATATAATATTTTGATGAAAATAAGAAAGGTAAGGTGAGAACGGAGGGCTTCTTTTTTTCCTTTATTTAAACAGAGGGCTTCTTAAAATCGGATACGAAAAACAGTAACTAATCAGGTTCGAAGTGGTAGGAGGACTAAATGGGGATTATGAAGAGGCCATCTCATTTCTACTACAAGGTGGGTCTGATAACGTCTACCTTAGACACAACAACTTTGTTCTAAAGACAGCTCCATATAATGCCAACCTCCCTGTGAACTCTGCCACCTTTTCCAAAGTTACAAGTCTGAGTGGAGGTAAGCTAATGTTTAATCTTTTGAGTAACACTTCTTTTAAAATAACTATAATCATACTTCTTTGTTTAATTTATCTACTGTTAAACTAGCAGATATATCACTGTCATTGCCAGATCCTGATAGCTAAACTCCTTCTCACTCCTTCAGCTGAGGACGAGGTGTCGATAGAATGGAGCAAAACAGCCGGATACTTCCTAAAGTATGATGCAGAAGAACACTCTGTTAAGTTGGAGTATCTCGGCAATACGGCTCGAGATGTCGTCTGGAAACGACATGCTTCATGGAAATTGGAGGAGACATTGCATTTAGGTAAATTGATTATTACAAAAAATTCTTGAAGAGCAGAATTATAATGACAACATGCCTACCTACCTAGGTCGATCCAAATGTAGTCTGGACGGAGTTAACAATAATAACCGGATTAATTTGTATCAAGCAAGCAATATTTGGAAACGCCCATCTCCTATTTACAAATCCCATAACTCCCAGCTCCCCCTTCATACCCCGCACCCTCCCTTCATACACCACCTCCTCCCCCTTCATACCCCGCCCCCTCCCTTCTTCAAAAGGTATTGTACCACTAAAAGAACTTAACTCAGATATTATACAAATTTATTTATCTCTTTCATATGAATTTAGAGTTACTTTCTCCATTACTTTTCTCATAATTTTGACCATCAGGAAAATATAAGCGAACCCATCCCATTTTTCTCATTATCTTATACTGTTACTTCGCCCAAGATCAAGAAGTCAAATTTCCTGACGGTTCATTATTCTTCCTCTACATCCCACTCCTTCTTTACAAGTAGACAAACGTAGAGCGCCAAGGGGGGGGGGGGGGGACAATGTTATCACTCGTCAGATAACCCTTTGAGGAAAACAAGCGTTGGTAACTGCTTACTAGCCACATGGACCAGACCTTGTTATGCTAATGTACATTGTAGGGGGGGGGGGGGGGGCCGCGGCAAGGGGGGGGGGGGGGGGGGGGGCAATGGCATAAAATGGAGACTTTTTCTATGGAAAAAAATGGAAAAACCCTTGAATTTCCATAATAATTCTCCATTATATGCCCACTATACAGGGGTTACACAGTTGCGCCCTTTTCCACCCTAGATCCCGTGGGGGTGGGACCGGGGTGGGGTGGGACCGGGGTGGGGGTGTAACTGTCGGTAGGACGAATGATTTTCTTGGGCTCATCACCTTTTGTTACCAAAAGTAAACGACCCTTCTTTTAACAGAATAATGTTCTTAGACACAGAGCACACATTAGGTAAAGTCTAGCTAGTATAACTTTAATGTCACTAGTATGCCTGTCTAACGGCACTGAGAATAATGTCATGCTGACTGGTGGGGCATCCTGGCCGCGAGTTGAACCATTCGTCTGTTTCTGTTCAGTCTCGAGCAGTAAATATAATTGCGTTCGTTTGGAAACTACTTGCATTAATAATATCGTCGGCGTTTTATAAAAATATTCGTTTCAAGTTATTGAATTTTTTCCCAGTATTTTGAGTCCCAATTTGGTCAATCGTGAAAATTCATATTATGATGTTTTCTGAAAAAGGAGAGTATGATCTACCAGGGGGGGGGGGGGTTCACCCTGATTTTTTTGTGAAACTTGGTTTCGAGATAGCAGTTGACCAACAAACTAGGACCGGTGACCAAACTTTTGAGGGAGTCCCGGACCCCAACCGCCAAACGGTGCCCGCGGGGCAGCCACGCCCATATTTGGTCCAAATTAGGCCCAATTTAGCCAAATACCCTCAACATGCCCAAAACCCAGATTTTAGGTGCTTTACTTGTAGCTAGTGGTCCTCTGAACTCGTATATGAATTTTTATCAAGATTGGACAAAAATGACTGAGTTATGAACCAAAAACCATATGCCCATATTTGGGTACATACGCACCAAATTTGGTCGATTTTGGCCCATAAATTGGTCAAATATCCATATTTTTGAATGAAACCAACTTTACACGAAAGGTACGCCTATACTACACATTCTCTATGATTATCAGCTCAGTATCTACCTAACTGTGGATTCTGTGTTCAATTAATCGCAAAAAATGAACAAAATTGCCCACATCGCATCTCAGTTCGCGATATTTGCGAAACTGATTTCGTTCAAAACAATAGAACTCAATAGGGTTTCAATATTTTTACATAAAATTTTCAGAATCAATGTAGAATCGCATTTCGACCTTAAGTTTTAATATGGAATTTTGAGTTACCGGTCCTAGTTTGTTGGTCAACTGCTATCTCGAAACCAAGTTTCACAAAAAAATCAGGGTGAAACCCCCCCCCCCCCCCCCCCCCCCCCCCTTAATGATCAAAAAATATTGACCAATATTGACCGTTTTTTTGTTATAATACTAAATTATAAATTCAGGATGAGTTATAAAATCATCATTTTCTCGATCCGGCAGCAAAAACCCCAGGCCTGAATGAGAACCTACATAATCATAATAGTATAACATACAAATAAATTAAATCAAATTTTAAAATACCTGATCTTCTTTGACGAGATCAAGCGGCGAATCTCCCGCGTTATCTGTAATTCTAGGGTTGGCATTGCCTCTCAGCAGGATCTTAATCGACTGGGGCTTGTTGTTGATAACCGCAAAATGCAGAGCTGTAAATAATTACTGTTATGAAAACCCTGGCGTTGGTAAAGGACAAGACAAATCGGTTTAGTTGTTTCATTTTAATCATGGTCTTAGCTTTATCATTTTCTCGTAGGTTGTAATCTCAAGCAACAGTCATGCAGTGATCATAAAGAATTTCTCGAGTTCCTGATTAACTGATAGATTATTTAAATCAATAAATTAAATGCATTATACTGACCGGTTTTTCCGTCGGTGTCTTGTTTGTCGATGTCATCCCCTTGACAGTTCTGAGCTAAGAAGTCGACAATATGGAGTGACGTTTCGTCTTCCTTCGTTACCGCTGCAGAAGTGCATCCAAATAAATCTCAGTACCATAAAGCATGGATAAACCACGTAAACTACAGATAAAACTCTTGTAACGAAAATCTTAAAATCGTTGAAATTTTACGGCGCACGAACCTATATGGAGTGCTGTTTCTTCGTACAAAGAGTTAGGAATGGGGGAGCCCAGTTTGACACCTTCTCCGAACACTTGGAGGAGTCCCCTGATGTCTTTACTCTCGACACACTTGTGTAGTACCTATAATTGTGGCGCTATGATCTATATGTTAGCTTACTCTCGACACACTTGTGTAGTACCTATAATTGTGGCGCTATGATATTTATGTTAGCTTACTCTCGACACACTTGTGTAGTACCTATAATTGTGGCGCTATGATATTTATGTTAGCTTACTCTCGACACACTTGTGTAGTACCTATAATTGTGGCGCTAGGATATTTATGTTAGCTTACTCTCGACACACTTGTGTAGTACCTATAATTGTGGCGCTATGATATTTATGTTAGCTTACTCTCTACACACTTGTGTAGTACCTATAATTGTGGCGCTATGATCTATATGTTAGCTTACTCTCGACAGGGGGGGGTCCACGTTAAAAAAAGTTAAAAAAGTTAAACTAATTAATGTTAAATTTCAAAATTCAGGCTTAGAAAGTTTAACTTTTTTAACATAAATTCAAATTTGGGTTGAAATTGCAATGGAGTGAATATTCTAGACTAGTTTACTTTTAGGTCATGCGTTGGTATTTTTGTTCATTAGTCATTACATGTAGGAATATAGGAATGCCCATGACAAGAGTAAAACAGTCATATAACATAGGTACAACCGATAAATAATTGATACATTTGATCATTACAATAATAAATTATAATTCATAGAAATATAAACAGCTGATTCATAAATAATTTTTAAAAAACAACAGATTCCATTCACAGTGTCAACACTGAAAATAGGGCTATGATAATCTATATCATTAAATCTAGTGATACTAATCGTAATGAATTAATAACTGAATAAAATTCTAATGATGTTTCATAAAAGTTATCGCTTAAACAAAGAGTCACTGTGTCACGATATTATATTACAAAATTTAAAATAGTGTCTAATGATATTTCATAAAAGTTATCGCTCAAATAATGAGTCAATTTATCACGATATTATATTACAAAGTTAAAAAGAGTCACGTCTAATGATGTTTCAATGTAAAAGTTATCGCTCAAACAATTTGTCAATATATTATATTACAAAATTAAAAAACAGTGTCAATGAAGTAAACATTTTACAGATGTTACTGTAATAACGTAAATAAAAGAACTTGAGGTTCTAATTTGAAGTTACTTATGTCATTTAACCTGAATATAAAAGTCTATCATTAAAATAATTTTCACTATAGTGCAGCCGAGTCCTTATCGTCATTCATATATTTTAGAACTTCACTTGTAATACGATTAACATCATACGGTTGAGGAATCTTCATTATATCACGACATACATCATTATTCAGTAATGAAAATAGATGTTCCTCAATAATCTCTTCCTCGGACATTCCTGATGTCCCAAGACTAGGGAGGCTACCTCTTATGGCCAAACAACTGGCTAAAAAAAGCACAAATCCTTCAGTACTGATCCTGAGATCGCTGAACTGTCACTTGAACACAAGCAGCTGATGATTGCGAATATGCAGAACAAATTCCCGACCAACAGGAAGCATGTCAAGACCAACATCAACCAGCTGAGACGTAAGATTACAAAGAGACTCAGAGACATCAACAACCGCAGTGCTGACACACTCGTCGAAGAGGTAAACAACACAGACGACGCCCGGAGATACTTTGGAGCCTCTAAGATACTCGCCAAAGGATATGTTAGACCAGCTCTAACCGTCCACAACCCTGCTGGGAATATCGCAGGTACTAATGAGGAGAAAGCGAGGATTATTAAGGAGTACTTTGAAGCTGAGTTCAACGACGCTGATGAGCCTACCCTTCCTGCCTTCCTTGACCCCCCATCTAGCCTTAACAGTCCCATCACCGTTGCAGAGATAGAGAGAGCCATCAGTAAACTCAAGTCTGGTAAAGCAGTGGGTATTGATAAAGTTCCTGGCGAGGTCATGAAAGCCCTGAACAACCCCCTCCTTCATGAAGAGCTGGCTAATGTGTTCAACGAGTCTTTCGAGAAAAACATTCACATTGAAGCAATAGGAGCAGGCATCCTCACACCACTGGCTAAGCCTGGTAAAACTCGTGGCCTAGTTAAGTCGATACGACCATTGCAATTGACCCTGCTGAATGTTTCTAGAAAGATCCTGTCACTGATAGTGCTAAACAGAATAGAGAGAGCGGTGGACAACTTCACCGGACCGTTCCAACCGTTCCAAAGCTGGCAGGAGCTGTGCCGACCTAGTTTGGGCACAGAGCATGCTCATATATGTAGTAATGAAGAAGGAGTTTGAATGGAACAAAGTGAGTATCGACATGTCAGCTGCCTTCAATACCATCCGCAGAGGTACAACAATCAGACTACTAGAAGCTGCAGGATGCTCCAGAGACGACCTGAGGCTTGTACAATACCTCATGGCTAACACCACTCTAGTAGTCAGAGTGTGTTCTACTGACTCAGAGATGTTCTCTTTCAACATAGGAGCCTCCCAAGGAGACAGCACAGCTGGTAAATTGTTTACCCTCAATCTAGCTGGAGCTGTAGTGCACATAAGAGCAGTCCTCCCCTCAAGACCCAACCCTCCGATAGCCGATAACCACATGCCTCTTGAGTCCGGCTATTCAGACGATTTAGAGGAGATTGGTGAAGATATGGAGGAGTTACAGGATATCTTTCAGATCTCCAAGAATATTCTCAGTTAATGGAGTCTCTTTGTCAATGACACAAAGACAAAGTTTACCAGAGTGTATTTAGAAGAAGTTGGTGCCTGTGACGAGTGGGATAATGAACTAAGAAGAAAAGAGGAGTGGAGAAACGAGACGCTTCTTGGTACTAAGCTTGGATCAGAGCAGGATGTTACTAATAGCATAAATAAAGCTAACTCTGCCTTCTGGTCATTTGACAAGCTGTGGTGCCAGGGATCAGAGAGGAGTCAGATAACTGAGAAGAGAAAGATCAAACTCTACGACTCACTAGTAGTATCAGTGCTCCTGTACAACTGCTGCTGCTGGGCCGTACCTCAGCATGTTCTAGAGTCTGTAGATGTTCTTCAGAGGAAGCACCTCAAGCGCATCCTACACATATATTGGCCTAGCTCAATATCTAACAAGGCCCTCTACGCTCGTACCCAGACCAGGCCCCTTTCCGAGAGAGTGGAAAAGGCACGGTGGACAATGCTAGGTCATGTTCTACGCAGTGACAACGACACACCTGCCTACCAGTCTCTGTTATTTGCTACACTAGGATGTCAAACACTAAAGGGACGAGTGGGTAGACACAGGACTAATTTGTATGGTATTATTGTGAAAAAGGACCTATTTAAGAGACAAATTTATTTTAAAAATGAAGATGATTTTACCAACTTAGTGAACTTAGCAAGAGATAGAGTAGGATGGAGGAGTTTATTTACTTTGAGACATATTGGACGAATGAGTCTTCGTAAGCGTAAATAGGCCAGCACTTTGCTGAGCCTCTTTAGGTGCTCTTTTGTTTATAGATGTTATTATATTATATAACTGGCTAAATGGCTCTTTAGATTATGAGAGCATCTATGTTTTGAAACAGAACTTCGATCTGGTTGTTTCACTTTCACACACCCCAATAGGTTCTTTACCTGCTTTAAGACTTCAGGGACTTCATTTTCAATATCTTCCGGGCTATCAATTACATTTAGATATTTCTTTGAATCCTGATTATTTTTTATTTCATTCAACGATCTATGCACAAGTTCCTCATCGTCACAACTTTTCAAATTGCTTGGACCTAGTGATCTAGTTAACTCTAGCATTACCGCAATGTGGGAAATAAAGGCAAAAGAATACTTCCCTGTCACATTTGCATGGACATAATTAGTAGACAGCTTTCCTTATATTTTTGGAATAGATTGAATAGTTTCCGATGACAAGATTGGTTTCACTCTAGCTATTGGGCATGGCTGATGCACAGTATTCTGCACCACATCATCTGTACTCTTTGTTCCATTCTGACATTCCGGGGTAGGTAAAATACTCATCATCCGACGACGTCTTTTCTTAGATTTTAGTCTTAATACCCGCTCCATGGATCGCACAATTGATAACGTAGGACACCTGGATTTTTTTCCTCCGAAAATATTGTATATATTCTGTAGGCAAGCTTCCTCTAAAGAACACCCAAGTCTGAATAAAACCCGTTGAATTGCTTTGGCCTTGATAATCTGGCCAGGTACCATGTCGTTACACTTCCACAATTCAATTTCAAAATTTGTCCTGACCGTGCATCTATCTTTAATCGTTTCGGCATCGAGCGCCTTTCTTCCGGATTTCTCCTTACAAAGTTTGTTTTTCAGCGTGGAAGTGCCATCTTCTGTGGCGAATCTTGTAGAAAGTTTGTTTAAAACAGTCTCTTTCTTCGCAATCACAGGCTTATCACCTTTTCCATCGTGTACTGGCAGTCTAATTGTACTCAGAGAACTTGTTGGAGGAGTATTTCTAGAGTTCAATTTGTCCCGATTTCCCTGCTGATTCTCATTCTTGATTGCAGTTCCACCTTCAATGAGTCGTGTAGACAACTTGTTAAGTGCTGTTTCCTTCTTTGAATTTAACACTTTCTTGCTGCTGTTTATCTTATTAACATCAACTGGTCGTCCAATTGTGAATTTAGAATTGTCTACTGTGGGAGTTCTCGTGGTTAAATTATCAGTGTTAGCCCGCAAATGCTCCTTCTTCTTCAGACCCGTCGATGAAGATTTATCCATAATCGTAAATTTGCTTTGCACCGTCGGTTTCTTAATCTTTGGAATCCTAAAAGTAGGGACAGCTCTCCTCTTGAATGAGTTGCTTGTTATTATCGCAGTAGTGATAACATCAGCAGATGATTCGTCTTCAGAATCATATTGAGTTCTAGGTTTTGATGAATCAGCAGCCCTTTTTGAAGTGTTGACAACAACTGATACGTCCTCAGTAGATGGTTCGGGTACAGGGATTACAGCTGGAGGAAGCTCCGGAGTATCAATACCTGATGATGTGTCCTCAGTAGATGGTTCGGGTTCAGGGATTACAGCTACAGGAACCCTTCAAGCGAATGAGCGACTCTCCTGATGCCTTCGCTAAATTGCAACGTAAACATCTGTCGTATGTGAGACTTTCCATAACCCTTCCGCACTTACACCGCCAAGCCATATTCTTTTTTCGTATTATATGAATGATTATATTAGTAAATTATACAATTATGTGTATATATAGATACAAGGTGTTTTTTTTGTAGAGTTATCAAATCAGTTACAACTACAGAAAACAATTGCAAGAGCGAGGTACTACTAGTACTAAAGGTCAACACTCATAATTGAGTTTAATTTGGGTAATTATGTTAAAATTTGAACCGATTAGTCAGCCAAAATCTGATTTTTAATTTATGTTAAAAAAGTTAAAGTAATTAATGTTAAATTCCAAAATCTCGATCTTAGAATTTAACTTTTTTAACGTGGACCCCCCCTCGACACACTTGTGTAGTACCTATAATTGTGGCGCTATGATATTGATGTTAGCTGTAACCCTCGTCCCTCATTATACTGAGGGTGGTTGAATTAATCCCTCCACATCAGTCCCAAATATATGTCAACTTAACATTTAAAAAGATTCGAAAATGTTATTATTATTGTTACTATTTAATTAGAATATTTGATGAAATTTAGGACGTGCTATTCAATCTACCTGTCCCATTTCTTCTGGGTTCGCACATTTCCGCCGAATGTATGTTTTATCCTCATGTTTTAACCGTATATGGGCATGCCGCTCGTCCCTGAAAGAAATATTATATTCAAGAATTGGAGGGGGATAATCACACACACATTTTCAAATATGAGATGTTTTAAAAAATACTGCGCTAAAACTGGAGCAAATTTAAAGGACGGGACTAACAGGTTTGAGTCGTGGGAGACGATATCAGTGGGGCGGGATGTAGCTTTGAACACGTCATTGTACATCTGATTACCAACCTTGTACAGCAACTGAAAACAGTTTACATTAACACTTCTGTTCTACTTATCATAGTACATTCTGTGATTAAATTTATTGAAAATCAGCAATTGGTGTCTTGATATCTGCTTATTTTCAATCATATAGCCTGAAGCAGCTAAAAAGCGAACGTACGAGTAATTCAGCAGTAACAGGATTGTCGAGATCCAAGGACCTGATCCTAGAGTTGTGAACTCCTAACTTTCTGTGGGCCCCCGAACAGTGAATACACACTAGCACACCTAGATTCACTGCAAACCACGTCGGGTCTGAAAAGGCAGGGAGAGTTGAAGTAATACTACTGCAGTAAGAGCATGCAATGTTATCATAATTTAGTTCCAATGATGACTTGACTATGACTATTAGTGATCATTCTTTGGAGGTTTGGTATATTAATTAATAAAGTACCCATTAAGTCTAAAAATAACCTAATCTTCAGAATTACTAACTATCTCCTAGTCAAAATTAAACATGTTTCCCGAGTAATAATTAAAAAATGATTAATCAATTGATCGAAGAAGAAATTTAGTTATAAAACAATACATAGAACTCGCTTTGTTACCTGGTTTGCCGCAATCCACACAACGATCGTTCCCAGTCGTCGTTTTAATCTTGTGGATTATCTTTTTAACGAACTCCCTCAGCTTGTGCTCGTCACTGTTGAGGTCTACTGATGCGTGTGCGTTCAGATCACCTACCTTTGGGGTTAAAGATAGTTTCTAGATGGCTGTATTGGATGTTTAGGATATTTGAATATGGGCAATGGGAGCACGATTAAATGTGCTCTCTCTATAACAGCTAAGGTCAGATGTTGTTGCCACGTGAAAGATAGTGAAGTCGTCATCAAAAAGTGGAAAATATAACATAGACGTCAGAATTTTTCTGGAGGTAAATGAATCCCAAAAACTCCATTCTCGATTCGGTTAAGTCGGAGGAATGGCATGAGCTTGACACAAATCCTGTTTTATTCGTAATTATTGAAAACAAACCAAAAGATTACCTCGGACTTAATGCTCTGGTCGATATTATTTCTGATAACTGTAGTCCATTTACTCATGGCAGTTTCGCTGGGTGCCTCAAAATGGTATGTTCTGTCATCTGAGATGAGAACAAATAATTTTAAAACCCATAAAATCATAGTTATAACTTTTGATTTGTTTGGAGAGGCGAATCATACACAGTTTAGGCTCTTGAAATCTTCGAATTAAAAATCATCTTGAGAGAACCTCCTGAATAGAAATAAGTTAGGCTCATATTTAGGTAGAAACAAAACAGACTTAAAAACAAGAATCCCAAAAAATTTTGTATGTATGGAAAAAAATCTTTTATTATAATTTATATAAAATTTAACGGGACACCAATCATAATAAAACATAAATACTGACAAAAATTACGGAAGGCAAATAAATTACACAACAAAAATAACTAAACTTATCATCTTATAACTTTTATTCTATTAATCCCCAAAATATTAGTTCTGAATATAGAAATTAATCGATGCTCTTCTCTATCAAGTTCTATTGCTGGACATTTCTTGACAAATGCAACTTTAAAATTAATAAGACTCATGGATTCCGGGTGTTCATTAAAGCAATGCTGCGATAAAGCTGATTTAGTATAAGACTTATCAGTATCTAATTTAAATTTACTCCTGTGCCCATTAAAACGTTGTCTCACTTCAGTGGTTGTCTGACCAAAATAGGTGCTCTCTCCTAAATTACTACCTGTACAAATACTACACTGGGCAACATATATTACATTTTTGTCTCTACAGCTCAAACTCATGTCCAGGATAACTTCTTTTCCATTGACCATTACTTTCTTTCCACTCTCAAATAATAGGGGACAAGTTCCACATTTCTTACCACCACATGATTGAGAGGATGCTGTACGAAATTGGTGTTGGGCAAACCCTCGGCTAAGAGATCTATTCTTTATGACATAGTCATTAATTGCCTCGTGTTTTTTCAGGGCAAAGATAATTCGTACATCACCTATCAATCTCTCTATATCCTCTTTCATGTCATGTACTACGGATTTAAGACTTTTCACCTCTTTGAAGTACTTTGTCGTGAACACCAAGGAACTTGTACTCTTTTCCTTCTTAGGGGCTATTCTGTGTGCTGCACTAGCATTTCTCAAGGCTCTTTCTACTGCTAAAGGCTCCAATTCGTCCAATTTGTCTGCGTTGTGCCCACATCTAGAAAGGTCGGTCTTCAGATCTTCCAAGTCTTTGAGGCTGGTGTGTTCCTGAGAGTTCCTTTTGATGACTCTAAGCAGTTGGCTGAATGCCACCGAATCAAATACTTGGGGAGGGTGGAAGCTAGTAGTGTTCAAATACTGTCTAGCGTCAGTCTTCTTCCTATAGAGTGAGTACTGGATCTGGCCTTCTTCATCTAGGTACAGTTGGACATCAAGATAGTTCACAGTTGTATCAATCTGGGCGTCAGCAAACTGTATTCCGAAAGGTGCAGCTAGTCTGTTCAGCTCCTTGACGAAGTTGTTAAACTGCCGTTCTGTACCTCTCCATCTGCCCAGGATATCATCAATAAACCGTTTCCATAATCTAACCAGACCCCATATACTCCATTCCCTTAACTTTATAACTTGAGCGTTTTAAAGTTGGTAATGAGATCTTGTAAGGCGTGTCACACAGACATGTAACCTTACATACCAAGAGTCACGATGCAATATAATAACCTCGGTACAAACCAGACTCTGATATAAAACCTAAGAACTCACGTGAAATTAGATGGAAGCAATTCTTCTTTCCGTCCACCGCAGAGCTCGGCGTTTCTTTAACTTGACAGGTTAACAGGTAGAGATTAGCTGTCGGGGGTGTCGTCTGAGGGTGGTGTTTAAGAAGCGTTAACTTATGTTTTCGTTTAAGTGAGCCTAGTTGAGTGAGTAATCATGACCTAGTAAGGTGATTTTTACGATTTTTGATTTGGGGCAGTGACTTAGTGACGTAATCAGATTAGGAGGTTACCTGGTTATGAGCTATTGTAAAGTGGAAGTTCTCGATCTTACAGAATCTTTTTTGCCACCGATGAATACTGAAAAAGAAGGCGAATAAGTCACAGTACAAGCTGACGATTGTACGTGAATTTAGTAATTTGTGAACGGCTCCGGCTCGACACGGTAAAATGTCGCCGCGCGCTACGCGAAATCAGAAATTTTAATTTATTTATTTGGGAACTGAATTCGAATATCTCACCCTTCAGTGCGTTTGTTTAGATTTCCAGATATGTTAATACCAAAACTGGCGTCACCGGCTTGTGTCAAACTAAATTCTTCTTTCTGAAACATGAAGTAACTTTTATTCGAGTAAATTTTTCGAAATCGTAAACATTTCGAAAAATTTTCTTTATCGCAAAATCAATGCGCAAAATTTACATTCGTGGTCGACCAGATTTTTAAATTAATTTCTGAATACCTATCCAAACTGATTTTCCCGCCTGCGAAACCAACAAAGCAGACACTGCTGTTAATTCATCGAATTGAGAAGTGAACGTTTATTTTCACACTGCTCCGACCCATCAGTTTCTGTTATCTGTACACAGATTAAAACACGTGCAAAACTCTGTCACGTGTCAAACACCTTGAATTGACTCCCCGATAAAGCGCCCTACCCGCTAATGTTACCACCACTATGTGGTGCATTGTGTGTAACAATATCATTGTGTGTGCTTACAGGGTTATTGTACCGCCACTTACTGGTGTATTGAAGCGTAGTTACACACACACACACACACAAATACACGCACTTACACTATAATACACTTTGTCGAGAAGCAGATCTACAAAATATATAATATTTGTGACGTTTTGTGATGTTTTAATCTATCACATGCTCCGTGTGTGAGGTGCCACCTGTTAAATGTTTCCGGTCCCGCCTGCTTATTGGTCAATTAATTACGTGGGTAATTAATTAACTAATTAACCAATTAAAAGCTCGTTACGGACCTGTCTCTGATCTGGGGCAGTGCTGAGTGTCTCTGGTTTTGGGGGTTTCAACTTGTCTCTGATAGCTTGTAGTTCTACCCTGTCTTTCTCTTGGTTCGCTTGTAACTGTGACATTAGATATTTAACATTTGATATCTTTACAATGACAAGACGAAAAAAACAGAACAATTTGGTTTAGGTAATTGATATCGATATTCAAAAATACGTGTCTATATTATAGCAAATATATAGCAAATACACACACTATGTAATTAGACACGTACAACGTGTTACAACCTTCAAATGCGGCTGTGTAGTGTGTAGTGTGTACAGTGTAACAACACCGTATTATACTGTACTGACCTGTTAAAGTCTCGTAAGAGTTAAAACTTATAATCGCTGGAAAAAAACTATGTAATTTACTTACATTTGCTAGTTCGGTTCGGAGGTTAACCATGTAGGAGTTCAGATTGTTGAGGCAGCTTTTACCTTTGTCAAAATATCTGTAACATTAAGTTGGTTAAATATAACATTAATTTTATGTAATGTTAACAACTTAACCAGCCAAAAACCCACCCTCAGCCTGTTGAAATACCTAATAATGTTAAATAAAGTCAGTATGAAAGATGCCAACTTGTAAACCTGGCTATTTGCCAGAGTCACCAGATTACTATGAGTATTGCTGAAAGCACAGTGTAAGGCCTACACGGACCGCCTCTAACTAGCCAATCCCTGTTTACATGCCGTGTAGCAGGGGACTAGAAAGAGCTAAACTAGTAAACTACTATATCATAACAACAAGCCGGGGAGGAATGGAATGTGGTTTTATTATTATTTTAACTGGAGAAGAAGGGATGCTTTTATAGCTTACAGCTGGTTAAGCTCACTTATCAACATGTTTTAAAATACAACCCCATAATATTAGGCAAGGTCAGGAGGCCTCGAAGTGAAGGATATCATTGACTTATATTACATTTATATAATTATAAACTGCATGGACCCTAGCACAGGTAGATATGCATAACAAATAAAGCAGAGAAAGATCCTGAATATTTGGAAACCTTGAAACAATATTCTAACTATTATATGCGGGAACTTACGAGACTTCCTCGTCGTACAGAGTGATAAGTTGCGTTACAAAGTCAGCTCCCGTTTTGGACGAGATCTCGTTAAACTTTATCATAAAATCACAGACGTCGTGTTTTGCTTTGCGTTTACTCTCACTAATGTCCTCAAACTGAGAAGTGTTGTTGTTAAAGTAAAGGTCAGCATCGCTTATCATGATACAAAATAGACACTACACAATATATTGTAGGTAAATGTTGGCTGCTCTATATTTGTGACCTAGAAATCAGCGAGACACACCCCTCTAAGAGCCAAATTAATGGAACAGAAATGAATTGAACTATCTTGAAATGTTATGACTATAAATATTGTAACTAGAAAGTGAAATACCGGGTCAGAGCCATCAATATGTGCATCAGTCGTCAGAAGTGCTTTAGACTTCTTATTCCTGGGAAGGTTATATTATTAAATCACAATACTGGGCGTACTTTTCCCCTCTAATTCGCACAGTAGTGCCTTTACGCAAGATAATCGCACAAAACTTGCTCTTTAGTAAGATTGTTGCTTGAATGTTGTACAAGACACAAAGAATCGTATTTAACAAGTGCTGATTTTGTACAAATTCCACACACATACACACACTAAATCGCACGTGAATAATAATCAAAATGGGGGTGTGTTTGCTATTGCACACTGATGGTGTCAGGTGACAGGATGGCTTGCTATTGTACAGTTGTACAAATGATCACACATCCACCAAGAGTGATATTGATCACACTGAGTGATATTAATCACACTGAGTGATATTGATCACACTGAGTGACATTGATCACACTGAGTGACATTGATCACACTGAGTGACATTGATCACACTGAGTGATATTCACCACTGATAAGTGTGTAGAAGAAGGTACATGCACCGTACAAAAACAGAAGTATTATTACATCGTTACAAGGTTCATGCGCTGATAACACAGGAATTGTTTTACTTCAAGATAGCTTCATTCCAAGATCGTGACACAAAGTTGTAACTTATTTCACCTCAAAGTCCCAGTAATTCGAACTATCCTGTCCATTATAGATTCGCACAGCTACAATAACCGCATTGTTATTGAGATGTCACAATATTTACCAGGGGTAAAGTAGAGGTAACACGAGTAATATTGTCACTGTAACACCCGTGCAATATGGTGGTGTGCGAGGTAAAACCACTACACACCCGTACAATATGGTAGTGTGCGAGGTTAAACCACTACACACCCGTACAATATGGTGGTGTGCGAGGTAAAACCACTACACACCCGTACAATATGGTGGTGTGCGAGGTAAAACCACTTCGCACCCGTACAATATGGTGGTGTGCGAGGTAAAACCACTACACACCCGTACAATATGGTGGTGTGCGAGGTAAAACCACTACACACCCGTACAATATGGTGGTGTGCGAGGTAAAACCACTACACACCCGTACAATATGGTGGTGTGCGAGGTAAAACCACTACACACCCGTACAATATGGTGGTGTGCGAGGTAAAACCACTTCACACCCGTACAATATGGTGGTGTGCGAGGTAAAACCACTACACACCCGTACAATATGGTGGTGTGCGAGGTAAAACCACTACACACCCGTAAAATATGGTGGTGTGCGAGGTATAACCACTACACACCCGTACAATATGGTGGTGTGCGAGGTAAAACCACTACAAGTCTTGCAGCAGGAGTGCAGCTTCGAAACATGATATACGCAGTGTACACTAGGAGATAAGGTTTTGCTGACAGAAAGTCAGAACTGTAATGTAGTGGTGTGTGTGTGTGTGTGTGTGTGTGTGTGTGTGTGTGTGGGTGTGTGTGTGTGTGTGTGTGTGTGTGTGTGTGTGTGTGTGTGTGTGTGTGTGTGTGTGTGTGTGTGTGTGTGTGTGTGTGTGTGTGTGTGTGTGTGTGTGTGTGTGTGTGTGTGTGTGTGTGTGTGTGTGTGTGTGTGTGTGATGATAATAATAAGAGTGAGTCTTGTACGAGTTCTCAGTGCATACAGTGATGTTTGACTTATTCGTGTGTAGAGATTAGTGGGTGTAATTAATTAAGATTAATTATTAGAGTAACTGTATCAGAATCTGTTTTAGTGTCAACTGTTGTTGAACACTGTAGTTGAGTAATGCGGTGCACTGTGAACTTTAGTATTATGTAACTGAGTATGGTGTTGTTCGCCAATTTTTGAGATTAAAGATACGTACACATACATTAATGTATTATAACACGTGACTTTATCCAGTGCAGGACTTCCTCTTCTGCGCGTCAAGTATAAAATTATAATTAGAGGTATCATCTTACTATATATAAAGCGAGACGATATATATATATATATATATATATCTGTGCCATTTTACTGACACCACGGCATCAACTTTAACGCGACTTTCCGCAAAAACCGTAAAAGATATACAACTGGAACTTTTTTGGCTGGGTCAAATGCTTTAATGGCCTTCAAATCAGCATGAAAAAATAAAAAATTGGCCAAGGAATAATGATTTTAGAGCCTAAAATTTGGACCCCCAAGTGGTGTCAAAAACGCCAATTAAATAGGTAATAATTATTTTAGTATTTTGAGTCTTGACACCGTTTAGGGTTATATTATACGGGTTCCTGCTAGTGAGTAGAAATTATAAAGTACATAAAAACTTTGAATCGCTTGTTCCTGCCACGTAGGATATATTTAGATTGTGGTGGGTTAGGCTGGCATGCCAATAAACCTTATCCAATTTCAGCAAAGTAACAGTTCTTGGACGGTTTCCAGTGTTTAGTATTCTAGGAACCAAATATGTTAACCAGGTATTTATTCATATGATTCACATATTTATGTAATTAAAACAAAACAGAAATAAGATCTGAGACATCACATACAAACACATTAGCTTCCTACGATAATGATTCCAATTAAATTACGAAAATATTTTCCTCGGTTCCCAAAACCATATTGTACCGTCCGAATGGGCACATTCCACAGCAAATAATTAGAGGTAGAATGAGGCCACCACCGACTGGCAAGATAGTTCAGTCCCTATAAAATGCACTGTACTAGAGCTGTACATAATACTGCATAATATTACAGAAATATGTGTGGTATACAAGATAACAGGGGGTTAGGTTTTGGGAGGGACGTGTTGTAGCATCATGGCACGTGACTAAACTCTCTTCCAAAACATAACCCTCTGTTGTTTGGACACGTGGTTAACTCGCATTTTCTTGCTTTTTCACGCTCATTGGGCATTGCTCAACCATTTCAAATATGACAAAGTTGATGTCACTAAAATAAACTTGTACTTAACTCATTACTTTTGAACACTATCATAACTTATATAATATAATAACTTATATATAAGTTATATAAGTTATATAAGTTATATAAGTTATGAAGTATATATATTATACTCCACATAGCCAGCTTATTGTTATCTCCCAACATGTACTTACTTTTACCCGACTGTATTATTAATATCACATGATATGGATACGCTGATACGTCTAACCAGTAATTTAAATAAACATGATAACACTCTGATATCATTAAATCCCACATTATATTACATATGTTTCTATAATCTCCATTATAACACTATGTTGGCTAGTTTAAGATCTACACCATGTACCAAGAGAGAGAGATATACTTTATCTAGTTTACAAATCGTCAACATCATTATCACTTTTCTCTCACCTTACATTTTACACTGTGAAGCCGCCAATCCAGTCTTACTACTGATTTATATACCAGATGATATATACACAAGAGTATTACACTGCTAAGATGACAGATATAAGTCAAACGCGTAGAATACTATCCCAACCATATATATAGGGTATACTACAGTAATTACAGTTCAATCTGACGTTTTTAGGACGTTGATACAAGTATTAAGTTAGAGATAATAAAGACTGTACCTTACAGGTATGCGTATTAAAACTCTGCATACCTTAATACCTAATACAAAATATAATAGGATAAATATAAGTAACACACATACCAACAGCCTAGCAGGCCTGTAAATGTACAGTTGTACATGCTGAGTGAGGCTGTGTAAAATTGGAGGGTCAAATTTCAAATAATCAACTGTATTATATGACTGTATAATAAGTGTTGTGATATATACTGGCTTTTACTAAAGCACAAGGTCTAAATACACAGGAGTGTATACTGTATAGGGTGACTGGCGCTGTAGAATTAGTGGTCTCGTCACAGTGTGAACTTGATGACGTGTGTGAGTTGTTGATAAAAGTTTGAGGAAAAAGAAACACACATATTGTATACCTCAGTAAAGATCTACCTGTTGAAATTTCGGATAATTTCAAAGGTGATCTTCCGTTTTTGCCACGGTCGGGTTTTATAACACCAAAAGACCAAGTCTGTGATTGCTAACAACGTTGGTCTGACATAGCAGTTAGCAAAGTTGCATATTAACATATTAACATATTATGCAGTCTATCTACAAGCCCGTAAAGAAGGAGGAGTCAGCTGTGGAAGCAGCACAAAATGGGTACTGGGTCCTGCTCTTGATTACACGCAATTATCATTACCAAGCCATACAAGGTAAACACGCACTAGTACTATGTTGTGATCCTGACATAGTAACATAACTGGTTACTTAGTTACCTAACTGGTTACTTGGTAACCTTAGTGGTTACTTAGTGACCATAGTGGTTATTAGGTAACCCAAACGTAATTATCATTACCAAGCCATACAAGGTAAACACGCACTAGTACTATGTTGTGATCCTGACATAGTAACATAACTGGTTACTTAGTTACCTAACTGGTTACTTGGTAACCTTAGTGGTTACTCAGTGACCATAGGGGTTGTTAGGTAACCCAAACGTAATTATCATTACCAAGCCATACAAGGTAAACACGCACTAGTACTATGTTGTGATCCTGACATAGTAACATAACTGGTTACTTAGTTACCTAACTGGTTACTTGGTAACCTTAGTGGTTACTTAGTGACCATAGTGGTTATTAGGTTACCTATAAGTAATTATCATTACTAAGCCATACAAGGTAAACACGCAAAGTACTATGTTGTGATCCTAGAACGTTGTGTATGTAAATTGTTAAGTGTACCCAAGTGTGTAATAATTTGGTGGAGCGTACACAGCACCTCCACAAAGTGCCCACAATAGCGTACTTGTCTACCCCATGAAATTGAAACCATTCGACTCAACGCTGGTATTAAAAAGAAGATAGTCTGACTTGGTACATTGACAAAGAATTACTGGTACCACACAGATCATGGGTAGTGTGTAACTTTCCACCGCGGCTATCTCTTTGTTAAATTGAGTAGGTCAGTAGAAAGTACCTATATCGTTTCCAACATGCTCAATCTGTCTTTTTTAGGGTTTTAGGCGGATGTTAAAATCCTGAATTTTTGTTTCGCAGCAAGATCAAATATCGTAATGTTGGCCGTTGGGGTATTAGGTCTGCAGGACGGCTGCTTTCTTTTGACGTGGAATAATAACAATATCTTAGAGTATTATTTAGAGCAGACCTCTAAATTCTAACATAGAATTATTTTCTACCTAATCAGCCACTCGTTAGTGACTTGTTAGTGGCTTGTTAGTGGCTTTAATGTATCTGACATTTATGGTGTGTTCGCTAAAACCTATTAGAGCTTTTAACGATTCGTTTTACTTAATGTCACTGTGCTCAACATATGATATTGTAAATGTTCAGCAGGCTAAGAAGAGAGATGGGGAGGAAGGCCAGGGGGGGGGGGGGGGGGGGGGGCGGGGGGGGGGGGGGAACATCAGGGTAACAAACTGTTATATGCTATGTCACCGGAGAAGAGAATACGGGAGACACAAACATGATTTATAAAGGAGTATAATACAAGAAACATAGCACATACAAGTAACATTCCAATCAACCATAACCCGGGGACGTCTCAAGAGATACCCCAGGATCATCAGGGACCATTACCAACACATTCAGGATACAGTGAAATAGGGGATATGATGAGATAAATCTAGAGCTGCGCGAACCACATGACAAGACACGTGTTGTTATGACAACACACGTGTTTTTAACACAATACATATCACGTGATTGTACCACCAGATCAGTGTTAGATCAGATACACTTACTGGCTGGATAACACGTGACTACCGACATACCATTGGGAGCTAGTGGAACGCTTCAACCTGTGTGGAGATATTACCTGTGTAGATTCTAACACGTGCAGTATTACTACGCGCACGTGCATTATTCTTACACGCACGTGCAGCGTGTGTAATAGTGTGTGCACTGTGCACCTTAAATTTTAAAACGTGCCAAAAAAGGTCTCTATGGGCACAAAAATTACAACTATAATTCATATATATGATAAACAAAATAAATTGTAGCATTATTTACTTTTAGTACTTAAAATATTAAAGCAGAGAAAAGTATAATTTGTGTGCTACGTATAATTATGCTAATTATGATAATTATTATAATTATGCCACTAAATGAAAGGACCACAGAAATGTAAATGCGACTTAAAGAAGGGTAAGGTTTTTGTCTTAAGCTTCGGAGACTTGGAGCCTTTCTAATCAACACAATATCGAGCATAGCACGTAGTTTTAAAAGTAGATAGAAGATAAACAGAGTGGGCCAAAATCAACACAACATTAGCATCGGCTAGGTTGTACTCTTAGCTCGGTCTGAATAGCATCAAAGCTAAAACTACCCTCATTCCATACTAAAATGTTGCATTAATACTGGCCCAGTCTGAAGTCTGAACCAATGGTCGATACCCAGCTGTTTCCTGAGAGCTAGAGACAGCCATAACATATTTTCCCCCAAAAAAGCTGCTCATCATGTGGTAAAGAAAAGTAAATGTTGGTTTAAAGAAAGAGCACTGAATGCTAATTTAGAATGTTAAGACTGACATAAAGGTTATACCATTGCGAACTTGCGGAGCGTTTCAACCTGGCACACGAATATTTCAAGTTACTCACGAGTATAATATGGTAACTAGGTCACAGCTGGTTACTGTGCAACCTAACTGGTTACTTAGTAACCTAACTGGTTACTTAGTAACCTACACGTAGTTAAAGGTAACTAAGTTACAGGTAACTAAGTTACAAGAAACAAGTGGTATATTACACAGGCGAGATGCAACAAGGGTACATGAACGACACACAAACACTAACACATGTGTGAAGGGAATGTTTGTGAGTGTTTGTGAAAGACAAGCAAGTATAGTGCGTTCAGATAACGGTGTACTCTTCAATCAACCTTAATAAAAATACATTTAAAAACGTTAATATTGGCAATATCAGACGCCACTGCTGTATATCTGACAATACTACAGGAACTATTATTATGACGCTGTTATGTGCTGTGGATATATCTAAGCTTCAAGGTTTCAGAATATTATGAAATATGAATTAAGGAATTACTGATGTTTTAGCCCAGTCGGTGACTTGGGGATAGATCCGTAGTTATGGTGCCTGAAGTTGTAGCAATAAGTTGTTCATGTAAGCCTCAAATCAGGGTAAAAACCACCCTTGTTATCGAGAGTAGTGCTTTTTTAAACTGGCTAGTTGGTTAGACTGGCCAGGTGCCAGTAAAGTAAGCTTAAGTGCCTAGTGGGTGGTCCGTTCAAAACCCAATCTGAGAATGTTTCTATTTTTAGTATTTATGGTCAACACAGTTATTTTAACAAAAAAGTGGTCATTGGTCAACAAAGCTTTACTTGAGCATGCTGAGGAAAACATCATCTCTACACTATCGAACAGTTAATGGTTATATGATTGAGAACGTGAACAATAATAATAATAATGTGACACACCGTACTTCTGACCACATTCCTCACAAAATGTTAACTTTATAACTAAATTTGCTAAATGGTAATGTGATTATTGAGCCTACATTTGACAGACAATAAACTGTAATTATGAGGTTTCATATTTCAACGTTATTCAGTTATTGTCAGTTTCATTTGAATTGGCCTATCTTTCTCGACTGTCAAAAGAACAAGAACGACTTCAGTTACCGTTTTAACTCAAATTGGGCACTTAAAATAACAGTCAGTACTTACATGACAGCATCGTAATTTTTCCACGTCTTCTCGAACGACTCTCTCAAATCCTGCAAAAATAGATGATAAGCTAATTTAATGGTTTTAATAGAAAAGTTTCTTCGCGCAACTTACAAACCTAAATCATCCCTAGAATTCAACTTCACTAAATAATCCTACTTAAGCTATTTGACAGGAACAAATTATTATTGTACAATGTACAATGTACAATGTACCGTTTAAATAGAGAAGTTGTACAACCGCGGGATTGTCTCAGCCCTACAGTCATGGTATAGTGTGATGATGTACTACAGTTACTTGCAGAGCAAGCAGTACCTTGCACATCATGATATATTATTATTGTAACTCCTGAATAATTCTGTAACAAGATGTACTGCATTATGATGTTATTGTGTTATACAGTACCTTCGGTGTGTCAATTTGGAGTGGTGTGACAATACTGTTGAAACATATTGTGTCGTATTATCATATAACAACATGTAGTGGAGTAATGGTGGTGTCACGTGTGGTGTCACGTGTGATCTCACGTGTAGTGAGGGTGTGGCTTATCAGCACGCTTGAAGTTGTAACCCTAGCTAAGTTTGGTGCGAATCTGCTTAGTTTATACTTCACTAATGGGAGAGTTAAACGTAACGGCCAGAATTAAAGACATTACGCAACCTGCGCGCAGGTTAACAATAAATAAGACTAATTTAATGTGGACTTGTTAAGTTACCCCAATTTGACATTGGAAGGACTTTATGTGTAGAAACTATCATTAGAAGTGTAACAAAATGTGGCCCAGAAATAACTGAACATATACTTAAATTGTACATTTTACCACGAAAAGACTCAGCAGAATTTCTCATGACTTAATCTTAAACACGAAGTACACACCAGGTTAACTTGTATGTAATAGTATTTAAAATGACGATTTCAGAATTTGCTAGAAGAAAGATGGTCAAAAGCAACCAATCTGAGTGCAAAGCATAATTGGGTGTGTCATATAAACCCGCTTATAACGTAAGTTTAATGTGAACTTGTTTAAATTTATACTTTATTAATGGGAGAGTTAAACGTAGCAGCCCAGAATAACATATATATATATATATATATATAATATAGTCAGGGTAGCTTAAAATATAATAAATACCTTTACCCTAAGTAAAGACAACTGAGAAGTCTATTATAATCTAATTTGAATTACGATTTGACTGTCTGATAAATTGCAACAAGCAAGTAAAAACTGCGAAATCAGCATGGTCAGATTACTAAGTAACCAGTAAGGTTACTAAGTAACCAGCTGTAACCTAGTTACCTTCTGAGCGCCCAGCTCAATAAATGTTTTCAGAGGTCCTATTAGGGATTCGTTGATGGATTTTATCTGAAATTTGAGATCAGTTAGGAAAATACTCTGTTATCGACTGATTATAACGTTTAGAAATCAATAATCTGTGTCAATAGAAGTGTTTATAAAGCAATAACAAATCGTAGTACTAATAATTGATAGTACAATTCGAATATTAAAAGTGTTACAGTACCTTTATTTTCATCAGAGACGATACATCTTTGAACAGCAGTGACACTTTGATCAATGCGTTACCTGAAACAATTTAAAAGTTAATTGTACAGCCACTTGTTTTTAAAAAAAATTATACTTTTGTGGCAAGGAAAAACGCGAATTCACATTGTACACACAGTAAAAAATTTGAGTTATTTTTGTTTTGCTTGTTGAGCGTAATGCACAACATCACTTCATAATATATAGTGCTTGTGTGCAGCAAACATCCTTCAAGTACAAACGTACAGATCGCTTAGGAAGCTGAATACCTGAATACTCCATAAGATATAAAATTAGTATATTATTATGTCATGCTATATATTGGTAAATGTACTATTCGTCATGGCTCCCTTCCAATGATATCACTAAAAACATTGTACTTAAAACATTTATTGATATCTATGTATATTACGAGCGGGCTGGTTGATGCAGAAAATTATCATCGACAAAATATAATTACTACTAGAATATTAGGATTTCACTAATTTGGCATATTGTAAAATACTGCTACTAGTACTAGTTTAAGAAAGTACATCTACATTTCCAATGATTTCCGATGCAATAATATTATGTTCATATTATAATGTTGACAGGCTTCAAGACATTGGAGCTTATAAAGATAACTACAGTAAATAGTTGTTATTTGTGCTGCAACACTGCAGCTACTACCAGACTTACCGATAGTGGGATGTTGGGAGCCTGTCTTGAGAGAGTTGGTACCCATGTTCTCCAGGTGGTCCGCGAAACATTTGTCAGCCTCAATGTATGTGTTGGCAGCTTTTAGCATGTCAGTCAGAGCACCCAGTGTCTCTTTCATGTGCTTACGATCATTTTTCAGTGTCTGAAGAGATGTTAAATTGAGTACTATTATCATTAACAGCACTACATATTATTACCAATATTAGTACCCCATAAGTACCAACTCGCCCTTTCCACCCGGGGGAGTGTGTACAATTTTTAGTCAGTGAAACTGAAGACAAGTTCTACTCAACACACAGACACTAATCCAACTACTCACAGAGTCGATATCCTGTATAGTCTGCTTATAAATGCTGGCTTTCTGTCCAAATGCGTGACCATCACCATCCTTTAGCTCCTTTCTCAGCTCCGCCTGGAAGGCTATGATACCTTTCCGGTTAGCCAGATCCTGAGACCCCTTGTGCATCTCTTCTTCCTTCTTCTGTCTCACACTCTCTCCAGTATTTACATGTTTCTTCGGCTATAGATATTAAAATATGATACTAAATGTCATGTTGATATTTAAATGTATGTTTTCTTCGCTTGGTTGGGTCGTGGTCTAAATTATGTATATTTTCACTATAATATTGTCTGGTCATTTAAAATTTCAGATTGAGTATGTAGTATATTATCATGTTCATACATACATTATTATATATATTATGGTGTTGAATATAATCTTAAGGTGTTGTGTATAATTACGGAACTAAAAACAAATGTGCAATATGTTATAATATGGCAAACTATACTTTTCAAAAATCAAAAGAAATAAATCTTCATTACTCTGTGGAACATTTAAAGCAACAATTTCCAATTAATAAATAATTAATAAAACGTTAATTAATTAAATAACTAGTTCTAACAACAATATGATATAGGTGATTCGAAAGAGTGAAAGGGAGCAATTTAAATCTTGATAGGTACCGTACCCTAGACGACTACATTAGAGACAACGACAGAAGCAAATTTTAATCTTTATGATTAAGTAATTGTTAATGAAAACACAATTATGTTACTGAACCTAAAGTGACATAATATAATAACTAAATAGCTTATAAATTGATCAAGTACCCCGTACGTTTTAACATAATAATATACAATCAATAGGCAGCTTTATAAACTGGAATACATTAGTAACCACATTTCAATATCATTAATATCGCATCACTTTAAATCCGTTTTTAAAGTCTGCTCGTCAAATCTGTCATTTCACAGTAGGTCAGTAGCAACAAAATCTTATCATCGATTATGCACGAGTTAATAAATTCCATACTTGTTGAGGTAAAAGTGCTTGCAACTGTTCTGCTATCATGGCAAAGGGTGTGGCAAAATATTCAAGCGCTATTCGAGCCAGCTCACCCATAAATATGGGATAAAAATGTGTGAGAAGAGCCAGAGATAAGGTAAAGAGACACAGTCCAGCTGTAAATACAAGGAAGAAGGGTAACTCTTTCTTGGGGTAAACTGATACATCGTGGTAAAGAGGTAAAAGTTCTCTATCAGTCTCCTCTGTCCCACTGGTATAAGGGTGGAATAACTTACCTTTCTCTAACGGAAAGGGGATAAGCTTGAAAGTGTCTTTCCAGAAGCATTCCAGGAATTTTATAGAACCAGGCACTTCCTTCCAGTGCGCAGCGTGGTAGAATGAGTAAGCTACTGCCTCTGAGTCCCCCCTTTTTAGCAAATGCTCTGGAGGCAGAATGATCGGCTTTTCTTCCAAAAGATACTGAGGAACGTGGGGGTTAAACTCGACTGCTCTCTGAAGAGCTTCCACTGCGTCAAACTGATGTGTAGTCAGACCCTTCTTAACGGTCACATCAGCAAAGAACTTCTCACAGACTGGACGGATTTTGAGGAGTGCAGCGCTGTAGCAGATAACAGCTGATTTGGGCAGGGTCAGATCGTCGTATCTGGTGAGTAGAGCCTGGACGTCGTTGTACGCTTTTTGTGCGAGTAGTGCCTCTATGAGGTTCTCATGGATGTGAAGCACGCTCATAAGAGGGAATTCTTTGATAAGTTCACGTGTTATTTTGATGCATTCTTTGAGCTTTCCCATCTTTCTCAGACACATGGCGACCCTTCTTCTTGCATAAACGCAGATATTAATATCTCTGCGATGAAGACTGTTTGCCTTGACATCGTGCGAGGGAACTGACACAAACTTCCTGATGTTATTATCAGCTATTTTCAGAGCCTGTCTGAAGAACTTATCAGCTTCTGGGACTGTAGACGCACACTCCTCAGCCAGCAAAACGTATGCGGAGGCACAGTTAGAATTACCATTAACTGCCTGCAATGCTAGTTGAATGCGTTTCTCTGTGTCTACAGATCTCCAGGCTAGTGCCATCATCTCGTCTCCTTTGTCTCCAGCTCCTGCTACATCCGGACAGAAGAACATCTGTTGGTCCTGTGCTGTAAGGTTCATGTCGTAGTGGCTTAGTGGACTGTTACCTGTCACCTGAGGAATATAACGGTTTTTAACAAATGAATTGGATTGAGTTATACAGTTTTTAAAACACGAATAAATATTCAAATTTAATTTAGATATTTATAAAATTATATTTTTTATGAGTTGCAGGATGCTTCCTATTGATAATATATCAATAACATCGTTTATTGTCAATATGAATAAATAAATATCATATCCATTATTATATTGGTATGATGATACCAGCACTTTACATGGAATAATCTAGATAAATTTATAATAAACAAGATCAGACAGATATAATCAGAATTCATGGGCTCAGCTACTGGTGAGGAGGTGATTATCTTCAAATTTGGAAGAACATTTCAACTAACCTGCATGAACTTGAAGTATTCACATCCCCTGATGAGGTTCATGGGGTTTCTCCAAACTTTACATTCACTCTGTGCTGGCTTCTCAGGCAGATCTATACCACCGATAAAAGGAGCCACATAGGTCAGTGCCAGCTGCTCTATCAGCGAATTACCGTGCTTGTGAAAATACCTGCACGTGGTGGGGTATATAAGTTCAGGGTGTTCGAGGGAAGACAATCAATGAAATATTGAACTCATAATTTGCCTATAATTTGTTCTCATATGTAGCTGATTATTGATAATGATGATTTATTTGGTATCTTACCACCACTCAAAGATAAGGATAATCCCAGAGATAACAGATGATGTTCCTGTCAGAGCAACGTAAAATTTCGGGGTCAGACTATTCATGAAGAACCCCAGCTGATCTAAATTTTCATGAAGTCGCAATGGAGCTCTGAAAATAAAAGAAATTATTTACATTCATCAAGTACTGACTGATCACCGATTTTTGAGATTTACCACAGTATTTGGCAGGTTACCAGGCTAGTTGTTAAAGGTAATAACTATTTAGTATGGGTAGGTAGTTATGTTCATCTAAACAATCTTCTAAAAATTATATAATAGAGTAAAATATAATATTATTTATTATACTTCACTAACTGTAAATAATTTCTCGTACAATTAATGAAGGTATCATGACATATAAAACCAAATTGCTATTTAGCATTTCTTGTTTGCTTACCTCAGAAACCAGATGAGAAACATAATGAGAAGGAACCAGAGCATAAGAAGGTAAGTCCATGACCAGCTTACCCAGAAGCTGAGGGAGTCTAGTGTGTCCGACACTACTCCCTTGTTCCCTGTCATTGCATTCTTATACCTACATTGAGTTATGTTAGTGATACTGATCTTATTAAGTTACAATAGAAGATTGATAATAATTATTAGATACTAAAAAATTAGACATTACCACGACCATTGAGTTTTAATTGTGCCACAAATAGCCAATATAAAAAAATTACAACTTCTTAAAAACTTCTCAACAATCAATGGCTTCAGGCTTCTGAAAGGAGTTACAATGTATTATATTTTGGAGATCTTCAGCAGAGTAAATGAGTAATGCACAATTTTGTACAAACGTGTTTATAATTACACAAAACAATTATAATGAATTATTGTTTATAAATTAATCAAAACAGGTTATAAAAATGATTATAAATCCTTTAACCACCCACTTACAGCAGAGGTCAAGATAATTGTTACTTGGCAGAATTTAAAAAAGAATAATACTATCTTGACCCAAACTGCATAAGCTCTTCTCATAAAAAAGGTATACAAACAAAAAGTTACTTTTTAGCTCAACGTGAGCCAATGAAAATATAAGAAATCAATTTGAAAAAATTAAATCACAAAAAGCTATATATAGCTATATGTTCAAAATCAGTCTTATACACTAATACAATAACATGGAAATTATAAAAACAACAAATTGTGCAGAGATGAGCTCTAAACGTTCTCAATAATAAAAAAAAAACAACAATTAAGAAAATAATTGCAATTAATAATCTAACTCAAAACTCACAAAAATTAACTGTTCAAATTGATATATTTTACTAACATAAACTAGATAATTAAAATCTTAGCCGGTTATCAAATTCTATTTATGATTCACTAACCTTAACTTAATGCAATCTCAGTAAAGTTAGTTATCAGATCTCATGGATGCTGTCAAGTTATCTGAGCGTGGCATGTTTGACTCATCACAGCTGCCATAAGTCCCATAAGAAGATACATTTCTCAGACGAGTTAACACGCTGGGTTCTTTTTCATCTTCAATTTCCTGCTTCATGAGATCCAATGGGTCAACAAAAACATATGCTGATATTGGTCTCTGGTCTTGTACAATGTCAGACTTGCAACACAGAGATTTTAACAACTGTGATCTCAGTGATGGTTGAAGTAAGAACACTGCCCCATTGGAAATCGACATGAGACACAGAGATAAGAACATGAGCGAAAATTCTAGCTTGACGTCATGAAACAGGACAGTTCTAGCCTTAGAGCAGATGGAACGTGAAGGAATTATCTTGTGATTCAGTGAAGGACCACATGCAATCATTTCGAAACAGAACATTCCAGGTAAGATGCTAAATAACCCAGTGAAAAGCATGAATAAGAATACATTCACTAGGGATTTTTTAATGCTTGCACTTGTTGAAGTTGGCAGCGGCCAGAAGTAAACGATCTTCGCCATCCTGATGAGCAAGACCAGCAAAATTGCTATAGCACAGGAGGCACCTAAGAGAAAGACAGTAGAATTTATCCTGGGCAGAATATCTAGGACCTCAGATTTGCTGTCGGTTATCAATGACACAAAATACACCAGCAGGGGGATGACAAAACAACAAATCCAAACTATGACCACAAACAGCTTTGTTTTCCTGAGAGAAAACTTTCGAAATGATCCTTGTCCTAGAAGTATTTTATAACGAAGTAACCCAATCAGAGCAATTAATGGATGCTGAACACTTATTGTGCACAGGGATACAGACAGGAGTGTCAGCTCTTTTGAAGACAATGCAAAGTTTTCAGCTTCATCTTTAGAGAATGCCAACCAGTACCAGCAGATAGGAATAGCTACAGCATTAATGAAGTCATTTAATGCAAGGTTTTTGAATAGAAATGCAAATTTTTCATTCATTGCACGCTGTTTAACAGTGACATAGAAGAGAAATGCATTTATCATTGCCCCAATTATGCCTAGAACGATAGATCCAATGTCAGCTGCCTGCAGGTAATCAGTCATTCTAACTGAAAGTATTTTATATGACATTTTCATCAGTTAATAGATTTGATTTGATTTATAAAATTGGCTTTGTTAAAAACTCCAACAATACCGTTTTCTGTAATAACGACCAACAGGATCACCCTATTGTTATCTTTCTTGTAAAGAGAAATCAATTTACACAGTAATTATCTGCCAGGTTAAATGCATGGAATCACATCATTACACAGCTCTACAAATTATACTTATCATCACTCCATATGGCAAAATCTACAAACATTTCCTCTCCAACATTAATTGTTTATCAAATACAATTTTAATAAATATTATCAAATACATTACCATTTAAAAAAAACCTATTCAAACTTTCTAATCCAGTGGAATAGAATTGTATAAAGCACTTTATTAATTATTGCTATCTTACTTAGCTGTATATCAAACACAATTGCTTAGTAGTGCTTCTTTGTACCCGATGACTACTGGGAATATTTATGTGGAGTCTCTCCAGTCACTTGGCGCAGTTGGCGTTGTGCGAGCAAAATTGAACGGGGGAATAGTTTTGAGTTTAAGAAAAAACACTTCAGTACCGTTTTGATATTGTTATTCTCTTTCAAACGTATTCCAAGTTATTTGTATGAGTGCATATTCATATTGACTCTGAATACATTGCAAAAGACTAAATTTTATTTCGATAAGTTCATGAAGTTTGAAAGAAATTACAATAATGCGCGCACTTTGGGGAGTGGGCTTTTGCGGTGAAAATATGATAAAATATAACTATTATATAACCTGCGTTACTATCAAAGAAACGGGAAACCGATTAAAAAACGTAAAACGGAATAAAATCAGTTGCTGATATATAATAAAAATTTAGTATAGTATTTAAATTAAAATTTTCAAAAATATATTTTCCAAGCGCTGTGTTCACAACCTAGCTATAACCATTTTCTTTATGCCATTACGGTTGACGGATGTTACTCGTCTAAATTTGATTTTCGAAGTAGCGCGCGCCGCTTTCTTTTCGAAATGTTATGGCAAGTGCTGAGAAGTAGCGCGCGCGGCGCCGGGCCAGACCATTAATGATTAACAATGGTCAGTACATGACATTACGGCCGCAGCGCGCTAATTGTTTAACAATAAGAGCGGCCACGCGCACGCCGGATGGCGGGCGCACGCACTATTGAAAGCTTAATATTAATTGGGCTTTAATTTAGTTAATTTAGTTAATTTAGTTAATTTAGTTAATTTAGTTAATTTAGTTTAATTTAGTTAACACAACAAAAGTATTAATATAAACGGTCAGATGATATTATTTGTGAAATATTCGTTCAAATTATTATATAGACTATTGACGAGTTCAGCAGTCCAGCTAGGTTCTTATTTTCATTCAGGGCCAGCTAGCGCTAGAAAACGGCCACGGCCGTTGAAAAAGTCACGTGACAGTCGTATCGAGTGTAGATAGAGTAATTAATTATCATCCAAATAACGATTATATGTATAATAACAACACAGTTGAATATTCAATTTTAATAGTGTCCTCGCATGTATAGTATCAAATATCAAATAACGCCTTTGAGAAGTGCCATGTCAGCTTTACTGAGGCTAGGAATTTGGGGAACGTTATCCTGCTGTTGAAAATGCCCCTGACGAGATCGGGAGATCCTTCTAGTCCTCAATACAAGGATCCCCGATCCCAACGAAGTCCCCAATATCAAATATACAATGCAACAAATGGCTGGGTGGCCTAGTGGTTAGAGCTTCCGCCTTCTGTACAGAAGGTTCAGGGTTCGAATCCCAGTGTCACTCAGTCTAGGGAGTACCTAAGGATTCATCGGATCTATGCGATCTCCTCGGTCGACTCAGCTGAATGATAGGAAACTTGATTGAGGGTTAAATGAGGAGGGGTGCCTGTGCCAAAAAGATCAAGAATCTTAGGATACTCCATCAGAACATCTACAATGTAGTGTACTGTAAAATAAGGGCGGTCGAAATATTCGATGACCCTGTAGAGGAATCTACGAACTTTACAAATTAAAATTAAATTATTATAAAGGAGGAGGTCCTTGTTAAAGTTTTGTACACCAACACTCCCAGCGACCAGAAGTCACAAAATTTGTCGTACGGCAACTCTTTCAAAATCGGAAACGGTACCTTGTTAATTTTATTGCTTGTTTATAAACCCTGCAATCCCAGTCGTATTCAGCGTGCATGGAACCCCGGAACATATCACATGAGCACCAGAGCTCGACCGGGATTTGACGCTTTTGTCCCGGTCCCGGCCGGTATTACCGTTTTGGCCGGGATTTTTAAAACAGAATTTTGATCTTTTTAATTCAATTTAGCTCAAATTCATATTTATTATTTTATTACTTTGACTTAGACAAATGAAACGACTGTTAAGAATCGAACTTTGTCCCGGCTGGGACAAAATTCCGATCCCGGTCGACCCCTGGTATGCACTGTGTCTATAATGAATATAGACAACTACCCCATCAAAAGAGTAACGTCAGCTAGATTTTTAGGAGTCGTCATTGACGAAAATCTAACATGGGAAGAACATATAATAGCCCTAAAACGAAAGCTTAACCATGCCACCTCAACTCTGTGTCGTCTACGCTGCTCCCTCCCAGAATTTCTCCACAGACAGTTATACTACACTCTTTTTGAATCCCATCTGTCGTACTGCATATCAGCATGGGGTGGGGCAGCTAAAAATCGTATAAGCTCAATATTCACTGCACAGAAGTACTGTCTGAGGGTCTTGTTTGGTGATAGAGCAGCCTACCTGGATAAATTCAAAACGTGTGTTCGAACCAGACCATTTACTGACCAGAAACTTGATAGTAAATTCTATAAAAAGGAGCACACTAAACCTCTGTTTAAAAACAACGAGATACTCACTGTACAAAATCTTTATACTTACCATAGCTACATAGAATTATTCAAGATCATGAAGTTTTCTACTCCTATGTCTATGTACGAAGAGTATTCTCGTTCTTCCAGGAAACCAATGCTTACTATCAATAAACCGGATGCCCCAGACAACCATAACACGAGGTCAACGAAAATATGGAATATAATAACCCCTAACCTTAAAATCTTTGATTGTTCTGTTAGTATTTCTTGCCTGAAATC